CTTGTCGCCCCTCCCGCTCCCCTTTATCGTTCCTCTCTTGCTCTCCCTTCTCATCACCCCCGATCCCCCTTTCCCTGCCACGTCACTCTCCCCCGTTATGCCATTCCCCTGCCTCCTCTTCCTCCTCATCATCTTCTCTTCTTGCATAACATAGCAGCTCATAGTATAATCTCTTATATTATATTATAGTATATTCGCTTATCTTCTCTGTTCTTCTCTTGTCTTCTCCTCTCACCTCTTATAGTCTGCTACATTGTCATAGTGTATATATATGATGCGACGGTAAGTTAGATTGTCTCCTCTTTTGCCAGATGCATGATCATATTTTATGACCGTGTTTAAAAATGTGAGGGCTGTGGGCCGCCTTTTGGAAGCATCGCTCCTCCTTCGTTTCTCCCCGCTTTGGCGCCGCCTTCCTGTCCCGCTGCTGTTTCCTGGTTCCACCCGCGCTCTCGCTGCCTCAAGATCACCCACCCGGCCCCCAAGATCGCCCCAAGATGATTCAAAAGACAACCAAGATGACCTCATAACGGCCCAAGAACCCTCCAAGACGGCCCCAAGATGGCCTACAAGTTCGCCTCAGATGATCCACAATGGCCTCCAAGGCGGCCCAAGAGGGTCCAAGATGGCCTCCAAGAAGGACCGGGAGGGTCCAAGATGCCTCGAAGTCCGCTCCAGAAGCCTCCAAGACGGCCCAAGAGGCCCCCAAAAGGCCTCCAAGACTGCCCAAGAGACCTCCAAGAGGTCCTCCAGGAAGGCCCGGAGAGGCCAAACACATTGATTTTCCTTGGGTTGGCGATAGATTAAGGCATGTGCTTCTTTTCGGCCTTGCGGCGGCCCGAGACGGCCCAAGAGGACCCCAAGATCCCCCCAAGATCGCCCAAAAGGCCCCCAAGGTGTGACCATGACGGCCAAGAGGCCCCCAAGACGGCCCATGAGGCCTCCAAGACGCCCAAGACGGCTTCCAAGATGGCCCTGAAACACCATGAGATGGCCCCAAGTCGGTGCAGAGAGGCCCCCACGACAGTTTCCCAAGAGGCCTCCTTCTCATCCTCCTCATCTTCCTCCTGGACCTCCTCCTCATCATCCTTCTCCTCCTCCTCTTCCTCCTTCTCCTCCTCCTCATCTCTCTCTCTCTCACTCTCTCTCTACCTCCGAGATAACCTTGCTTTGGTTTGTTTTCTGACTGCCCTTCGCACCATTACTATTCGAATTACTGCTTCTTTTTCTCGCCCACGCGTTGCCCGAAACATTTGCACGGCGACTCGGGAAACAGCTGGTCGATAGCTCGTCCAAGAAATAGGCCACACGTCAGTTCTGAGAGACCCTCAAGACACCTCCCGACGGCGCGAGACGGGCAGGAACACCCCAAGATGTCAAAAAATACAGCCCCTGAGGCCTCCAGGACACCCAAAATCCTCTCCAGAACGGTCCTGAAGCGCCCCAAGAGGGCCCCAAACCGGTTCAGAGAGACCCGCACGGCTTCCGACGACGTCAGACGGGCCAGAAACGCCCTACGACGGCCAAGGGGGCTCCTGAGAAGACCCAAAGGAGCCCACAACTCATATTACTAGTACTGCTGCTACACATGTGCCACAGGGTGCATGCTGGAGCAGGTCCTACAGACAGGGTGCGCGTGTGTAGTATTACGTACGTGTCCTGGTCGGTGCGTTCCGAAGCACGTCCCAGGTGCGCGTACTACACGTGTCCCAGCGGGTGCGTGCCATGGCACGTCCCGGAGGGTGCGCCTGTATGGCTTGTGAGAATGATACGACCACTAGGAATAATAAGAGGTGGCTCTCCTCCTCCTCCTCCCCTCCTCCCCCTCCTCCTCCTCCTCCTCCTCCTCCTCTCCTCCTCCTCCTCCTCCTCCTCCTCCCCCTCCTCCTCCTCCTCCTCCTCCTCCTCCTCCTCCTCCTCCTCCTCCTCCTCCTCCTCCTCCTCCTCCTCCTCCTCCTCCCTCCTCCTCCTCCTCCTCCTCCTCCTCCTCCTCCTCCTCCTCCTCCTCCTCCTCCTCCTCCTCCTCCTCCTCCTCCTCCTCCTCCTCCTCCTCCTCCTCCTCCTCTCCTCCTCCTCCTCCTCCTCCTCCTCCTCCTCCTCCTCCTCCTCCTCCTCCTCCTCCTCCTCCTCCTCCTCCTCCTCCTCCTCCTCCTCCTCCTCCTCCTCCTCCTCCTCCTCCTCCTCCTCCTCCTCCTCCTCCTCCTCCTCCTCCTCCTCCTCCTCCTCCTCCTCCTCCTCCTCCTCCTCCTCCTCCTCCTCCTCCTCCTCATCATCATCATCATCATCATCATCAGCATCAGCAGCATCAGCATCAGCATCAGCATCAGCATCAGCATCAGCATCAGCATCAGCATCAGCATCAGCATCAGCATGCATCAGCATCAGCATCATCATCATCATCATCATCATCATCATCATCATCATCATCATCATCATCATCATCATCATCATCATCATTCTCATCATCATCATCATCATCATCATCATCATCATCATCATCATCATCATCATCATCATCATCATCATCCCTCTCCTGATCCTCCGCCTTCTGGTCTTCCAAGTGTTCCCCGAAAGGTTTCCGCTGCGGCTCGGGGAACACCTGGTCAGATAACTCATCCAAGCTCTGGACCCAAACATTTGGCCACAGAGGCGCTTTTCAAACAGGCAGGGGGCGGCGGTGACTCACCGTAGACTTCTTCCATAAACTATCACACGTTCCAGGTACAGCGCGCTCGCGCTCCTGCGGCCACAACCCTTGATATATTCCAACGAATGCGTGCCTCCGAGGCCACAACCCCTTGAAATTTACGATTCGCCGGTGCCCTCGAAGCCACAATCCCTGACAGGCCCCTGGAATGCCACCCAGACGTCCCAAGACCAAGAGGCCCCCCATAGCCACCAAGAAGCCCCACAATCCTCAGTAAACTGTGACAAATGCTCGCCCCCAGGGGCGCAACCCCTAACAAAATACCGCGCATGCGAGCACCCGGCGACAAAAGCCCCTTGCTGATTGCAGCAGGTGCGCGCTTCCGGGGCGACAATCCTTCGCGGGAAAGGCGACCTTGCCCTGGGCGGGGGAGGTGGTTGCCGCTGGTCTCTTTCTGCCACTGCTGGGCATCTCATCATGCTGTGGTTGGTGTCGTAAGGAAACTCCTCGTTGTCAGCAGAGGCTGCTCGCTTCAATCCACGTCGCGGCAATACGGTGCCAGGGTCATCCCATTCCGACTCGAAGGTCTCGAGGTTGTAGTAGTGGACCTGTGCGTTCCACATCACTGGGTTCGCGGCTGCGTAGACGACCCTGGCCGCGGTGTTGGCAGCTTGTGCTGGGGGTGCGAGTGGCCATCCGTGTGGCAGGCTAGCTTGCCTCAGTGCCTTCGCTGGCGCGTGCTCGGTCCGCGTCTTGTAGCTGTGCGGGTAAACTGGTGGAGGCGGGCAATTCGGCGGCGGCGGGTCGCTCTGGGGCTGGGGCGGTGGGTGAATTTCGCGGTCAGGGCTCGGTTCGTGGTTTGGGGGATGCTGGTGGTGACCGGCGGGGGCCGTGATCGTTCTCTCCGTGCTAGCTGTTGCTGCGCAGGGAGCAAGTAGGGCGCGATGTCGCTCGCGGGCGTCCGCTTGGCGAAGCCTGATAACTCCAGCACCGCCTCGTAGTCGTCGTTGAGGCTGCTGTAGAAGCTGTTCCTCGTCTTTGCGGGCATCTTGTCACCCTCTTCGCGGATGTCGCCCCCGTTGTGGGGCATGAGGTTGCGGATGTCCTCCACAGCGGTGTCCGCGCAACCGAGGACGCGGATGTTGGTCGGCTCCACCCGGGCGACCGGCTCTGGAGGAGGCGGCCGCGCGACGGCGATGGCCCCGTATGGCGCCATCATGCTGGTCGTGGCGTGGTGCCCCTCGATATGATCTTCGTATGTGACGTCGGCTGGTGGTGCCAACTCGTGCCGGCTATATGTGGCCACTGAGTGTTGCCGTCAGTAGGTGGTCCCAGTTGGACTTCGCATCGTACCTAGATCTCGTGGAAGTGGTTGATGGGCACCCTGCTTTCCGCCTCGCTGGTTACTTAGATCAACGGCACGAGGTCGCGGTTGGGGTCTCCTTCGGCTGTGTGGAGGCGCGCTCGAGTCTGAGGTGCGAAGTGGAAGTTCTTCTGCTCGAAGGTGAGGTCGTCGCCGTGCGGGCATATCGCCCTCGCCGTTTCGGTTGTCACAGTTTCCGTAAGGTAGAGGAGGAGCGGTAGAGCTCCGCTCGGTTCCTGAAGGTTGCTGTTCGCGTCCGTCGCGCGTAGCAGGAAGGAGACGCCATGGCTCTACAAGTGGATTGCCTTCCGTTCTGCTTCCTGTAGGTCTGCCCGCTTGCGCAGCTGGACGGTGATGACCTTGTGGGTCTGGTTGAGGTTGGTCATCTCTGCCCCGTTAGATCCCGTTGGTGGTGTGACGAAACGGATCATGTCGTTCCCGGCTAGCTCATTTGCCCGTGGCCACGGTAATGCCGCGATTAACGCCCGTCACTCCGCGTCGCGTACGTTGCCCTCATGGGGTGTTATGGTCCCCTGGGCGGTTCGGTAGTGGGATGCGTGAGTCGATCTGGCTGAGTTGTGACCGCCCATGTCTTACATGTTGGGAGCAATGCCGTTCCTGTTCTGCGGTGGTCCTCTTCCACATCTGGTGGGTCGCGCTCAGATGCCCCATCGTGTAGCGGTGGCTGTAGAGCGTCTTCCTTCATCCTCTTGACGTGTTGGCGGGCACGTAGACTGGTCCGAGCTCCAGCGCTGCGTAGGTGCACTCCCTGCTGAGGGTGGCTGGCGCGACTCCTTTTTGTGATCTGTCGGGTGCTCCTGCAGCGGGTCGAGCGAATCGCGGGTCCAGTCGGATACTCGCGGGAGGGATGTAGTCGAGTAGCTCAACCCGAGGCTCAACCCCTTCTCGGATGTGTTGCCCTTTTCGCACTCTCGCTTGTTCCTCTTACTGGAACTCGGGAGCCGCGTTTGGGGCGATGATTTTCTGTCCATGTGATCTAGTTGGAGTAACTACTCGCTCGGCTTTCTCAGCGGCGTAGTCCTTGGTGCTCTCGGTGATCCTGATCTCTGCGTTTTTGGAGAACGGGATCTTCGGGAGCATGTTCAAAACGCTGTAGTGGATCGTAGCAATACATGCGCCAATCCCGTCAGCAAGCGTTCTGCCCCACTGTAGGTCGACAGGCGGTTCCACCCATGGCTTGGTCGAACTGGGTGGTCAAAGCGCCGGTAGCTGTAGCGTCGTTGCCGAATATTTTTTTTCCGATCCAGCGCACGATTTGCTGGCGCGGAAGAAATGGGGCACGATGCGCCCATAGAGCTAATTGGCTGGACTGGAACATGAACAAGCAGGTGAGACGCCGGGCTCAATGTCGACTGCCACTGCAATAGTTACCAGCAGCATGCGGGCGCCGTTGACAGAACAGCCGGGCTAACTCTATGAAGGAGGATATTCGCTGCTAGCACCTGTGGGTGCGCAACGGGTCCGAATCCGTCTCCGTGCTGCCTCTAGCCGCACTGGCAGTCAAAGCGGAGCCGATAGCGCTGGCCAGAGCGCCAATCTGCATGCAAGACGTCTGCATTCGCAGACATGCTAAGTGTAAGAAAAACGCGCATCGTTGGCGCGGGGGCAGGCGGGGGCACCGCGAGCACATGCAGTCGAATACGGAGCAGCGCCGGACGGGCGGCGCCCGCGGCTGAGTGCGGCCATCCTCGCTCGATGCGAGCGAGCCTGCCAGAGTCTCGGAGCTCGGGGGAGGAGGGGTGGCCGATAGGGCGAGGACGACGCCATCGCCAAGGAGAACGAGGAGGACGAGCATGGACGAGTCTCGCTACAGCACCTCGCACCCTCTTGGTCGGGGAGGCGCAGACAGTATATCTGAAGTGGGCGCGGCGCAGCAGAAACAGCGGCACTCGCAAGCCAGAAGCGGAGGAAACAAAACTGCATCAACACATGAACTGTTGACGGTCTTGTCCCCGCGCAGTGCACTGCTGGGCGGCCAGACAGCGGCACGCCGCGGCGCTGGGAAGAGAGCGCAATGAAAAAACCCGCGCGGAGCTCCCGAGTGTAGTGTCTATGCAGCTTGCTCTTCTTCGGGGCCCACGGCGGCGGCGGCGAGGGCCGTCTCGGGAGGCCGGCGCCGCGCCGAGGCCCTGCGCGCCTGTGCCGCCGCCGGGGGGGGGGGGCGGCCCCGGGGGGGTGGCGGCACCCGCGGCTGCGCGCGCGGTCAGTTGACGTAGCCCACGACACAGCCGATGATGTCCTGCTCCGCGTCGTCCAGCAGGTCCGCATCGGCGTAGAGCGCGATGATGTCCCGGATGGCCTCGTCCTTCTCCTCCTCGTTCATCACCGCCAAGGACGCGGGCTGTGCTCCGAACATCAGCGGGAACATCTTGGTACCGTTCTGCTGGATCAGGGACAGCGTGCGGAGGTTCTCCTTGACCAGCCGGTACTTGTCCGCCGCCTCCCCGCGCCAGATCGCGGCGGACCACTTGCGGGTGACGTCCGTGAACGTCAGCGGCCACTGATCCTCATCGGGGATCGAGCTGTCGTCGTCGTCGGGGGACCAGAGCACGGGCCACCCGTCCTTGTTGGAGACCGCCAGCTGGGACGGCTTCGCCTTGAGTCCAGCCTTCACGATCTTCGCCTGGAGCTCGCTGTACCACTTGTCGCTGTACGTCATCTCGAAGCCCAGGACGGGCTCGACGGCGTGGATGCATTCGAACTGGCCGCTCTCGATCATGTCGTACACGTACAGCGTGTACAGGGTGAACTCCGTGGCCCCGTGGCCGTGGCCCGCGTAGGCGCCGATGAGGCCGCAGAGGTTGCCGTCGCAGAGCCTCCCCAGGTCCGACCCCTCGCCCAACTTGCTCAGCATGTCCAGCACGCTCTGCTTGTGCATGACCATGGGCGTGATCGAGGCCGGCCACAGCAGCGCGTCGTCCCACGCGCCAGCGTCCCTCGGGGACTTCACGCCCAGGGCCCTGGCCGACCTGTCGTACCAGTCGATGTGCGGCTCGACGATTGCCGACGAGGACCACTCCGCCTGGATGATCGCCTGGCCGCAGGGTGTGAAGAACGGGTCCTTCTCCAGCGGGTGTATGATCGTGTTCTTGGAGTCTAAGACGATGTAGTAATCGGAATCGACCACGGACGCCGCCTTAAGCTTGACGATCTGCTGCGAGTGCCAGCCTGGCAAGCCCGCCTGGGACATCTTGTCTGTGAAGTCCTCGATGCGAGCCTCGCGCGTTTCCTTCAGGCTGTTGAGGATTTCGTCGATCTGGCCCTGGAACTCCCAGGTATGCCTCTTGGAGACCCACATCAGCACGACATCGCCAAGGAACTTGTGCGGGTCGTTCACCGAGATGGACTTCGCCGTGTACTTCAACTTGCACAGGTCGCGCTCGAAGAAGGGGATCACCACGGTGGGCGGCGCGCTCTTCTTCGCGGCGCACTTTGGGCACCTCTTGGGAGTGCGGGTTCCGATCTCCTTGCACCCCCACGGCTTGCCGCCCTCCACCATGCCCTTCAGGCACAGCGGCTTGCAAAACGCCGAGCCAGGCTCCTGCTCGTAGCACTGCATGTCGGGATCCTTGCAACACTGGCTACTGGCGCAGTTCTCGGCCGTGCCGGAGCACCGGGTAAACACCCAACTTGGCAACTCGTCCCACGTCAAGTCGTCCTTGGCTGGCTTGACAACTGCCTCGCCCTTGGTCCGCGGGCCGATGGGCGCGCAGTCCCAGGTGTCGGCCACGGAGGAGTTTTGGCTGAAGTCCGGCGGCGGGGGGCAGCTCGCCATGCACCGCGCGAACGACGAGTTCTTCACGTAGCACATCGTGCCTGGCTCCTGGCAGCAGGTGCTCCTTCCGCAGTCCTCGCCGTCCTTGGAGCAAGCCACGGGGTTCTTGCCGCCCCCGCTGCTCACAATGCCGTCCGTGACGGCCTCCTTCGGAGGCCCTGGCCCAAGGACGCTGCAGGTCCAGTCACGCGTCCGCCCCTCGACCTCGATGGGGCCCGCCTCGCAGTCGAAACGACAGCGCCCCTCGCCACCCGCTTGCTCGTAGCACTGCTGGCCTGGCTCCGAGCAGCACTTGGACGCGGAGCAGTCGAAATCGGCTTTGGCGCACGTCATGGGCACCCATCTCGGCGCGCTGGCGACGCGCACCTTGGCCTTGCCGGCCGTGCGCACGCCCACTTCCCCGCACGTCCATTTGTCTGGCACGTCCTCGAAGAAGCTGGGGGCGTCGGGTGAGCAGCTGGGCAGGCACTTGCCGTATGTGAGGTTCTTCCGGTAGCACTGGTACCCCTCGTCCTTGCAGCATCCCGCGCTCACGCAGTTCTGGCCCCAGGCGGAGCAGTCTGAGCCGCCGTCCAGGCCCTCGGACGTGCACTCCGTGTCCTGCGAGTCCCCGAACAGGCGGCCCAGCACCCCCTGGATCATGCCAAGGAAGCCGCCGGGGCCCTGGCTGGTCCTCTGCCTGTCCAGCGACAACAGCGTCCTGCAAGGATCGCCGTCCTGGAGGACCCGAAGAACTGGCAAGGCGCGGACCGCCCCCTCCGGGATCCGCTGGCGGCGCGTGTGCCTGGTCCCCGCGGCCACGCCGAAGGCCACCGCCGCGGCGGCGGCGGCGGCCACGACCAACACGGCGCAGGCGATCCGCAGCGGCCTGCCCGAAGCCGCCTGCGCGCCGCCGTCGAAGCACTCGCGGCCTCCTGGCGAAGGCTCCGGGGCCGCGGGCGACTTCTCGGAGGGGTCGGCATCCAGCAGCGTCTCGGCCTCCGTCCTCTCCTGCGCCCCCACGTATTCCATGGGCGCTGCCGGTGCGCTGCGCTGAGCAACCTACGGAAGAGCCCTGGGGGCGGCGCGGTCCCTCGCGCGCGTTGCTGTTGGGCCTTGAGCCAGATGTCTGTAGTCCGTGGCTCAAGGGGGTCGCTGTTTCTCTGCAGGGAAAAGGGGGACTGTGTGACTTCAGAATGTTTTATTCAACATGATCGCTGCAATTCGGTGGCATGGTTAGCAGGAGGGGCAGCTATCTCTCAGGTCAGGCGTACGAGAAGCCTAGGTCGACGTAGCTCACGTTGTGGTTGAGGTAGCACCTGTCAGGGGACATGCCCCGAGTGATGTGGGTCGCGCAAAAGGAGGTCGAAGTCGATGTTGTTGTCCATGTTTTCTTCTGGAATTGTGGCCCCCGCCGTCCCAGCTGCGCTCACCTCTTGTGGACGTAGCTCAGATAGCTGTTAATGCACCGACTCTCAATGATGCCCCGAATAGTGTGGGCCATACGGTCAGTGTGGTTCGAATTCGGGGGTCGCTGAGTACTGTAACCGCCGGTGCGTCATGCAGTCGGTGCTCCTCCGGAAGTCGTATTGCAGGCCCAGGGGCGTGTAGAAAGCGACGTAGGTGTCCTCCATTTCCCGTTGGTCTGTCGAGTGCCTTATTTGCCATCGTGTGCTCATTGCTTCCGACAAGGTTGCTGCCAGTATCATGTTGAGCTACGTGGGGTAAGTTTTGGCAGCAGCGCTGCGCCACGTCCCGTCTGCGCTGCGTCCCAAAAGTGGTGGCGATTGTATCTACATCGGCTGGGTTTCGCAAATATGCGTGCTAGCAGACCTAGGACTCCATTCGCAAGTAGGCTGGTCGGCTTCGGTGATATCAGCTCCACCATGCACTGGTCGAATGACATATTTCGAACTCTAGGTCGTAGAAGTAGGTGCTGTATTTCTGGCAGTAGCCAGCTGTTGGGTACGTGCATTCTGCTGTGGACAATCAAGTTGCTCTATGATGGCCGGGATCCGTACGACGTAGGCGACGCACATCCTCCTCCTTCTCCTCCTCCTCCTGTCAACTCTTGCATGAGTTCATCAACTCCCCCGCATGTTTCTCTTTCCCCTCCTCCTCCTGGTCCTCCTCACATCGTCCGCGTTTTCTTGAGAGGCGAACGTCGGGAGAAGGGAGCAAGGACGAAGGGTTCGTGTCGCAGCACGGTGAATGACAGTGCCCCTAGCAAGGCAGGAACTTCAATTGCATACAATTGCCCCGACCTTCTCGTCTCCCTCTTCCTCCTCGTCATCATCGCTGAAATTTGATGAAACCGACGTTCTCAATGCCCGATGGGGAAACATGTTCAATGGCGGAATACTGGAGTCGTCAAAAGATAGATAAGAATCGCGGGCATTGCCTGCCTTCTTGTATATGGTGAAGCTTGAGCGGGAAGGGGGCGATGCTGGTGTTTGAAAACGCGCTCCGTGCTGGGCACAACCAAATGTGAACAATGAAAGCATGTGCATATAGATAATGAAAGAAGAGGGGCTCAGCCCATGGTGATTTGGAGGGTCGGTGTGTGCACCTCTCGCGGAAAATCGGAGGGTCGGTGTGTGCACCTCTCGCGGAAAATCGCCGTTCTGACGACTTAACTGGTCGCGACGCATTGTGATGAACAACCAACGAGCCATGAGATGCGATGCGACCTGGACTCGGCGGCGTGCGAAGGGGGGGAAGGTGGGAAGGAGGAGGCCTTCTCGCAAGGCGGCAGGCCTTCTCAGAAGCCCTCGCGCCTTCTGAGAAGCTGTCTGTGTCTTCGGGGAATGCTTAGAACACTTCTCAAAGGCCGGGGAGGAGGAGGAGGAGGAGGAGGAGGAGGAGGAGGAGGAGGGGGAGGAGGAGGGGGAGGAGGAGGGGGAGGAGGAGGAGGAGGAGGAGGAGGAGGAGGAGGAGGAGAAGCCTTCTGGGCAGGCCTTCTCCTTCTCGCTTACCCCCCCGGGGCTCGCCGCCGATAGACTCTCAGAGCGTCTCGAGCTGCCCCGTGCAGAACAAAAACAGCACAACGCAGAAGCAACCATCGCCCAGGCTGGACCAGTTGACGTCACCCAAACTCCAGATCACAAGGTGCACGCATAAGATCATATACACACTACCTCGCGAGCGTGAGTATTTGGATCGCAGTCTTGATCCGCGAAGCTGTGCGTCCGAAACACGGTTGCTGCGCAGCCCTCAGCATTGCGCAGGGGTGCGGCATACTGGGGGCGTCGATCCTGTCCTTCGCTGGCTTATTCTCATCCTCCCGTAGAATCGCCCTCCGTTCCCTCGAAAGCAACAGTATGGCAGGATGAGGCGCCAGGGAGGGGGGTAATGGTAAGCAGGATGGTGGTGGAGGAGAGGACTCAACGTCGAAAAGAAACACATCAATCAAACAACGACCACTTCCAATCCGCAGCACCGCCGGGCGACTGCAGAGACAAGCATGGCCACGGCCGCTTGAATGTCAAACGGCCCAAGTATACTCACCTCACTGCGTCCCGAGTCGGTGCAGGCGCAGGTGAGCCGCGACAGATCGCGGCTGCGAGGGCCACGATGCTCCAGCCAGGGCGCGGCAGCAGCGACGGGTCCCGACTTCGAGGCCCCGTGAGCTTCGACAGGCCCACCATCGGCGACGCCTTCGCCGCCTCGCGCAGGCGGCCGCCGAGTGCTCCTGACCGAGAGGCCCCGGGAGGGCAGCAAGGGCGGCGGCGGCGGGCGGCGGCCCATCGCCGCTCGTGGAGGGCGGGCTGGCGAGGGCTGGCGGGAGAGTCGGTGACCAAGGCCGCCAGCGCCGCGGCTGCACGCGCGCACCGTGCGCGTCCCGCGCACGCACGATCGGCGCGAGGAGTGCAGGCAGCGCCTCCTGCTCCCCGTCGATCTCGAGAGCCTCATCCACGTAAGCGCTTCAGAAGGTGGGTAGCTGACTCGGGCATCTTCGCAACGGTCTATTCCACCTCATGCAGGGAAGCTGCACCGACGTAGTCCGCTGTTGGCTCGTGTTTCCACCCTATCCAGTGCCCGAGCTCGCTCTGGAGCAACTCGATCGTGCCATTCTGCGCCTCGATAGAAGGATGCATGGAGCAAGTGGAGGCTCAGGGCCTCGGCAATGTATCCTTGCGCACACCGTGCAGCAACGATGGGCTTGCACTGCTGGGCATCAGCTCGGCTACCTGCGGTAGCGGCAGAACTCGAAATGTTGGATGCGGCATCCGTAGCAGCGCCAACGCGCCCTTGCCGACAATTGCAGCCGACGTCCCCGACTCATGGATCACGTGGCGCTGAAGACTGTCCAACCCTATCGGTTAGCTACTTCTTCTGTCGTTTTCATTGTAATTCCAATGTTCCTCTGGAATTGCCCAAGAATCTCCATATGTCTTGAAACAGCTTGAAATTACATGGTAACCCTGAGATTGCCGACGAAGAATACAAGCTCAACATTATTATTATTATTATTATTATTACTATTATTATTATTATTATTATTGGCGCGCGTGGCCCTGCTGCTTGAGCATGGAGGGTGAACGTGAATTAGGGGTAACATGTAACGTCAATTATTCTTGGCTTGGCGGGCGTCAAGGAGGGTATGGGATTCCTACGGATTCCCAAAGGAATCCTAAGCATCTCCAAGAGATTCCTAAGGATCACAAACAGATTCCTAAGGCTTCCCTAAGAATTCCTGCGGATTCCCACGGGATTCCTGATGATCCACAGGGGAGTCTGAAGGATTCCCTAAGGATTCCTAAGGATTCCCCAAGATTCAAAGATTCTCCATGGATGCCGAAGGATTTCCTAAATATTCCAAAGGATTCCTTCGGGATTCCCAAGGATGCCCTGGGGACTTCGGAGGATTTCCTAAGGATTCTTGAGAGTTCACTAAGGATTCCGAAAGATTCCCGATGGATGCCTAAGGATTCCCTGAGGATTCCCATGGATTCCCTGGGGATTCCTAAAGATCCCTTAAGGATTCCAGACGATTTGCTAGGGATTCCTATCCTAAGGATTCCCCCGGGGATCCCTAAGGATTCCCATCCGGATTCCTAAGGGTTGCCTGGGGATTCATCCGGATTCCCGAAGGATTCCTGCGGATTCCCGAAGGATCCTTAACGATTTCATAGGATATCCAAAGGATTCCCAAGGATTCCCGAAGGATTCGTTGTGATGTCCAAAGGATCCCTGAGGATTTCCGAAGAATTCCTATAAGGATTCCTTAGGGATTCCTACGGATTCCCTCGGGCTCCCTGAGGATCCCCGAAGGATTCCTGAGGAATCCCGAAGGATTCCTAAGGCTTCCCGCGTGCGTGCCCACGTCAGCCGCCAGGGCGCCAGGGCGGCAGCACTCAGATCTGCCGCCGTGCCTGCACGGCAGAGGCGTGTTGGAATGCCGCTGAGCTGTCTTGCAGGTGTTTCTGTGCTTCTGTGACGTTGCTTAGGGCCCCCCCCCCTTCCTCACGCTGGGCTGCATGCGCAGCGCCCTCTTCCCGAAGCCCCGTCGGCGCCGAGACGTGCCCCTGGCGCCCTCCGAGGAGCTCAAGATGGCGGCCAACATGGCCCAAGAGGGCCGCCAAGATGGCCCGATACCGATTCAAGACGGCCCAAGATGCAAGACGACCTAAGATGGCCTCGAAACGGCCCAAGCGGCTTCCAAGACGGCCCGAAACGATTCCAAGAGAGCGTCTCGGAAGGAGTCCTCCAGGATGGAGGGTTGGAGGAATCTTCCAGAAACCAACAACATCCGTCGGGATCCCTGGGATTCCTGGGGGTACTGGGCAATGCAGGGGGGTATGCCTCCAATTTGGGGGTACGGCCGCAATTTGAAATTATTACTCTTCCGGGCGCCTGCGGTGGAGTTTGGAGGGATGGAGGGTCGTAATCAAATTTGAACGAGATTCCCAAGAACATCTGCGAACCAAATTCGAACGAACCCGGCCCATGTACGCGAGCGCCAACTAATACTCATGGCGAGGGCGGTGTGGGATCATCCGCCAACCGCATACGAGGGCGAAGGATCAAGAACAGCAAGTGGATCATGATTCTTTGGAGGGAGGCGACTCGGGGCTGCGGGTGTTGTCTTGCCCACTGTGTACAACTAAAAAGACGGCCACGCGCATTGCCCCACAGTCAAACAAAATCGGAACAGCGTACGCTTCAACCTGCAGTTGGAAAGCCCGTGCAAGGAGGCGCACCAACGGGGAGAGGGCGACGACATTGTGTGAGCATCCACATATGACCGCGCGAGCCAAATCCCACAAGCCGCCTTGGCGTGAGTGGTTCAGAGCGTTTCCTCTTCCAACCTCCCTTCTTCCCTTCGCGGAGGGGTTCATCACTGTTCCCTATAAATAAACACCCCCTCCCCCAGGCGACTGGGGGCCAACCAGGGTCCATGACGACCGCCCCCCCCACCATTCCTTGTTAAAAAAACAATACAAACCACACTCTGCCTCCAAATTCGGAACATGCGCAGCCAACCCGATGCGGCCCCCCCCACCATCCCTGTCAACAAAAACAATACATAGTACACTTGGCGGCGGCGGCGGCGGCTGCGGCGGCTGCGGCGGCGGCGGCGGCGGCGGCTGCGGCGGCTGCGGCGGCTGCGGCGGCGGCGGCGGCGGCGGCGGCGGCGGCGGCGGTGGCGGCGGCGGCGGCGGCGCGGCGGCGGTGGCGGCGGCGGCGCGGCGGCGGCGGCGGCGGCGGCGGCAGGCGGCGGCGGGCGGCGGAGGCGGCGGCGGCGGCGGCAGGCGGCGGCGGCGGCAGCGGCGGCGGCGGCGGCGGCGGCGGCGGATTGGCCCCCAGTAGCTGCCCATCCAAAGACGACTGCTGAATATGCTCAGGCTCGGGCCAGACTCGGGTGCTACGTATGTGTTGGGAGGGCGGGTGGGAGTGAGCGAGACGGCTTGCGGGCGGGGAGGGGGTCTTGACCCCTCCCCCTACCCCCTCCCTTGGACCTGGACTGGGGGTTGCGCGATCCATTGGAGCGTCCGAGATGGCCTCGGCGAGAAGGCATACATACTGGTTGTTACCCACGTTGTTGGGCCAACGTTGACCTCCGGCGGGGGGCCTAATTGAGCTTCCCCCCCCTTATTCGATCGATCTTCTCCAAGATGGTCCTAGGATTGCCCCCGAGGCTCCAGAGAGTGCCCCACAAGGGACAGCGACGGCAGGCGGAGCAGGAAGAGCGCGGGACAGGGAGAAAGACCAGACGGAGGACGACGCCGCACAGAGGACCGGGGGAGGATGAGGAAGGGGCGCGGCGCGGCCTCGCGCTCTGCCAGTTGCCAGCCTGGGGGCGGGCATCGCCTCCCTCCCCTTCCACTCCCCTCCTCCCCCCACGTTTCCCTCCTCCCTCCACCCTGCCACTCTGCATCAGCTCGCAACCCCTCCCCTCCACCTCTTACCTCCTCCCTTTGCCTTCCCCTCCCCGCCCCCCTCCCCATCCACTCCATCCATCCCTCCCATCTCCTTCCCATCCCCGTCCCCATGCAACCGCGACTCCCCTCCGCGCCCTCCCCGCTGTTACTTACTCACCGCGGCTCCTCGACGCAAACCAGACAATGCACAGCAGCGGTGGAGCACGGAGCAGAGCACGTTCGTGGTTGAGCCCCCAGGGTTATACCCGGGTCCTGGTAGAGCGCAAGCATGGTCCTGGTAGGGTCCCGGTAGGGTCCTGGCAAGCTCTGGGTCCTTGCAGGTTCACGGTGGGGTCCTGCCGAGGAGAAAGAGGAGGAGCAGGAGTAGGCAAAGCCCAGTGGGAAGGAGGACTTGTTTGACATCAACCATCTAGTGACCCTCACGTCAGAGCACCAACAGGGCCCAGACTACAACCTGCAAGCGAGGTCAGTCTGAGCTCCCTGAACTGGCACAATCTGAGCTGCCAGAACACGGCTTCGCCTCGGCGAGAGCCGCTTTCGGGCGGGAGCTTCGCCAGTTCCTCTCGGAGCGCCCACTATGGCCCCCGCCTCTGACGGATTGACCCTCAGCTCGGCCGTGCGGCCTGTCCGAGATGTCACCCCGTTGGCGAAAGGCTCAAGGCGGAAGGCAAAACGGGCCCTCATCGTCCTCGAGCCTCAGGGATTTGACCAACAGGCGGAGCACATGCCTTGTGCCTGGGCCCCGGCCCGCAGCTGGCACTGGCTCCTCGGGATTGCTGGGGGCACCTCCCAGAGGTGCAGTGCCTCGCCCACCCTGTGCAGACATGGCGGTGGGGCCGCCCCCCGAGGGTGCAGCGAGTCCCCCACCCTGCGCCGGAACTGGGCGGGCAGGAAGATCAAGAGCAGAGGCCAGGGCAACCCTGGAGACAGAGCCCTGCTCCACAGCCGGCGCTGGCTCCTCGGGATTGGTGGGCGCACCTCCCGGTACCATGCCCCACCCACAGTTCGGGGGCGCGCAAACATGGATTAGCGATCCATGGATTTGGCGCGCGGTCGCCAAATCCATGGATCGGGGGAGGTGCCCTACCAAAAATGCGGCCGGTGCCGCCTCGTTCGGAGGCGGAAATCCGCGATTTCCCATGGAAACGGGACCCGTCGCTAATCCACGCCCCTTAATCCATGTTTGCGATCGCCTGAACCGTGTACGGACATGGTGGTGGGGCCGCCTCCCGAGGGTACAGCGATTCCCCCACCCTGCGCCAGAACTGGACAGGCAGGAAAAGGAAGAGGCCACCGATTCCACACGTCGCGCCCGAAACGGCGAGGCCCACGCTCACAGAGGTGGGGCCGGAAACGAGGAGGCCACCGATCCCCCCTGCACTCTCTGGCGGGGCAGTGCCTCCTGAAAAGCAACCGGTTTCCCCGCCCGACCTCACGCCCGCCCCCCTCACTTCCAAGAGCCCTCCTCGCAGAGGCGAGCAAGGACACTGCAACGGAGCCGATCCTGTCGTCCTCAGCCTCCGAGTGAGCCGGCGCCTGCGTGCGGAAGCCAAGCTTGGGGGGGTTCGGAGCTGGGGTCGGTCGGGCATGGGGCCGTCCAAGGCGGGGGCATAAACTGCGCATCCTTCGCCCGCTTCTGAGCCAGAGGGTGGCGGCCTTCCACAAGAGAACTTCCACGCACTGCGACCTGCCCCAGGCCCTTCTATAGGCCCGAGCAGACTTCACCTAGCTTCTTGACTCTGCCTCCCGTGCTGCAGCAGTGGCAGAGGAGGCAGATGCAGAGAAAGGACCCATCTGTGCAATCCGCGACCGCACATCTGTGTCCGCGCTGCCGGAGAAGCTGCGGGTTCGGACGCGGCAGAGCCGAGCAAAGAGAAGGGCCAGGGCGGCCCACGCTCCGCATACCCCCGAGACAAGCCGAGCACTGCTAAAATTCTCCGGCCCAGGTCCAGTCGCGGACCAACCTATTTCCATGCTCCTGCTGCTGCGGGCGGACGCACCGGGCACTCGAGAGATCCAAACGCGGCCGCCTCGGGAGCAGCTTGGTGACCAGCGCGACTACAGCCCTCGAAATCTGAGTGGCTCGTTTGACCTGCTCCAACGCATCAGGGTTCGCAGTCGGGTGGCGGCGAGCACCTCGCTTCGCAGCGTCATCAGCCGAAACGTTGCCTTGTGTGGGAGATCTCTGCTCAGGGCTGATCCCCTCTTCTTCTACGTAGAGATGCGCGGGGACTTTCTGAACTTCTTTGATCCAGGGGCCTGGCATAGAAAAGGTGTCCAAGACAAAACCAGCATAGAGCCAGTGCCCCGAGACCCTGCCCTGTCAGTCCCGAGGCGCCACAGGTATGACCGACGCGCAGCCGGAATACAGCGTGGATTCCCCGTCGAGGTTGGCCCCCGCGGCCGCAAAACTGGAGAGCTCTCCACTTGGGGGCGTGTGAAGCAGGCGGGCCCGCACAGGCCCGTTGACTGCAGCGGGTGGCCTTGCTCCGAGACCGGAACGACAGCCCGTCCCGCCCCAGACAGCTCCGTGGTCCGAGACTGGCAGCAGCGGCCATGTGAAGCAAGCGAGGCCGAGGAACTGTCCGAGGTCGCGGCCAGGATCCAGGCCAGACTCGATGTATCCCTCGTCGAAGAATCCCACCTGGACGCCCTCCATGCCATCCTGGGAAGCAGGCCTCGGAGCAAGGCCTCCAGGATGCGGGAGAGTTCCGATGCTGAAGTTGACAAGCTCATCGCCGGGTCCCTGAGAGCCTCCTGGGCCCAACCCGACATCTCAGCATCCACCCACTGTTCCCTCTCCTCCTTGCAGGCCTCGCACTCCCACAAGCGGTGGAAGAGCGTGCCAACCATAGTATGACACAACATGTAGAACTTGGGCACCTGGTAGCCAACCCTTCTAGCTCTGGAGTTGGTTGAGATAGCACTGCACACGGGCGCCCTGAGGCACCCTTTCCCGAAAGGGGAAAGCTTCTTCGATCGCAGGGCCACCGAGATAATATCAAAAGACTGCCTGCCCGATCTGTGGAGCGGAGGAGGGTCCCGATCGGGGGCCAGGTCCTCAGGAGCGGGAAGAGCTGAGTCCGCGGCAGCGTTTAAAGAAGCATCTGGGGCAGGAAGCGTGCCACAAAAACAGTCGCCTTCTATAAGCGTAGTGTAGGCTACGCACTCCAAGGATCTGAGCACAGCCTCATGTAACAACTTGTTGTAGAGAAACGGGGACAATTCGGTAGCCAACAATTTGCACCCTCGATCGTCGGTAAAAATAACGTAGTCACACATGTCCCACCCAATTCTTTTCAAACTCAAAAACTTCGCGCTCATCGGACCAGAAACCGATCTCCAGGAAACGAGAGCCTGCCTGCTTTGAAAAACCGCCCTCCAAGACTCCCGAATGATGGGCCAGTCCAGGGTTCCAAGGATATTCTTGGTCCTGAGAAGCCAAATTCCCGTGCAGTACCTGAGGATGGGGGCCGCAGCAGCATGCCAAGTGGGGCCATACTCAAGCAAGAAAAGGACAGTGAGGGACCTTCTGGCAGCACAAGGTTTGATAACCGAAGCGGCCGTGCGCCTTAAGGCAAGTATCTCCCTGTGAATCCTTGCATCTCTCCTTCATGAGAAAATCCAGGCATCGGCCCAAGCAGAAAACACAAATGGCACTGCGCCCAAAATGAGACTTAAGCCAGTGCAAACTTCGAGTCTTCCTCCTGGGCCTCTCCTTCCGACTCTTACGCTTGTTTATCCTACCATCTCCCTTGCGGAAAGGCAACCCCCACAACGTCATCACACCCTAAATTAACCATCGAACTCTGGGGCCTGCCTAAAGTCCCAATGAACCCCTCACGCTCCTTGCCTTCCGCAGGACACGAGCAGACAAGGGCGACTCTGTCCAGCGCAACCTTGCCTCCGAGCGTAGCGCTGATGGGAAAAAGAAGAGAACGAGCCGTGTCCTCAATCGTTTTGACAACATCCCTCCTTCTACCGATGGCATGCAAGTGTCATAAATGTAGGCGTCGAAAGAAGAGAACTCTTGCGTATACCTGTCAATGCTGTGGCACGCGTCGAGGGCGTGAACTCGGATGAGAGAGGTGGCCATGGTGCGCCCCGCGATGATCCCACACGTGGCGTAGAGGGCAGGCAAACACAGACCGCTGAGGCATATGAAGCGGGCTGACCGGTACGCCCACGGGCAAACATTGAGCACTTCACCAGGGAAGCGATGCTTCCCAACGCCTCGAGGCCAAGAAATTCATCATACTTGCACGTGTCCCAAAGCACTGAAGCCGAGACCAAGCCCCTCCTAACCTCCGCTTCGGATCTAAACGCTTGGCGCCACAGGCAGTCTCAAGTCCCACGATTTTTACCCGCGGCGAGATCCGCCGGCCCCATTGTGGGGCCACCAGGCTGTAGGGCGAGGGTTTGCTATTCCCTGCGCCAGTTCCAGTTTCCAGTTTCCACTGTTACAGTTCTGCTTCTTGTTGCTTACTGTTTCTTGTTGTAGACCGCGCGAGGGGGGGGGAGCCGAAAAGCGTCCGGATTACCACGCCCGAATCGCGTGCTCTGAATTCCTGGCGGGGGCGTGGCAAACGTAAAAGTAGATGGAAGCTATACACCCTGTCAAATTGCACAATTTTCGCGTCCCCGAGGCCATGAACCCTCGTGAATTATACAATATTCGCTTCCCCGAAGCCATAAGCCCTTGCAAAATACAATATCCGTGTCCCCGAAGCCATAAACCCTCGTAAATTACGAAATGCTTGCGCCCCCGAGGCCTCAAACGTTTGTAAGTTATCCGATGTTCGCGTCCCCGAAGCCATAAACTCTCGTGAATTATGCAAGATCCGCGTCCCCGAAACCATAAACCAGTGTACATGATACAATATCTGCGACCCGGAAACCATAAACTCTTGTAAAGTACGTTATAGTCGCGTGTCCGAAACCATCAACCCTTGTAAATTATGCAAAAAATAGCGTCTCCGAACCCAACACCCTGTGTAAAGTATGCTTCATATGCGACCCCGAAGCGATCAGCCCTCGTAAATTACGCGCTAGTCGCGTATCCGGAGCCATAAGCCTTGGTACATTCCGCTGTAGTCGCGTCTCCGAAGCCATCAACCCTTGTAAAGTACGTTAAAATGACGCTACGTTCGCGTCCCCGAAACCATAAACCCTCGTAAATTACGCCCCGAGGCCATAAACCCACGTAGATGACTACAGATTCGCGTCCCCGAGGCCACAAACGTTCGTAAATGACGCGATGCTCGCACAAGCCCTCGTAAATTATACAATGTTCGCGTCCCCGAGGCTATACAACCTGGTATATATGATATGGCACTTGCCAATTGCCCTAGCATGAGGTCCCGACATTGTTTCGCGACGGCGCCGAGAAAATACAACATAGCTCTGGCATGCCCCATTCTGGTTGAAAGGGGACCGACTGCAGGGGGCGAAGCCCTTGCGGATCATCCCTGGAGGAAGCGGACCCCCAGGCAGACGCCAAGGGCCTGCGCGGCCGCCCCCAGAAGCGATGCGCAGCAGGAGAAGTCCCGAGGGGGCGATCAACCCCCGGTTTTCCTCGGCCAGGAGGGCAGTGATGACAGCCGAGAGCGGGGTATGCAAATTCCCAGACCGCTCCACGATAGAGAAGAGACGCGCCAACCTATCCAAACTGGCTTCGCTCAGCAGCGCAGAGTGTCGCATGCGAAACCCATCGTAGAAAACCGCACACCGAGTGTCTCTTACTGAGCTTACGGAGGTCCTGAGCAGAAACCTGGGGTAAGGGTCCGAATCTCTAACCCAAGGTTGCGGGAGGGCACTGCGGACCTGCCAGAGGTCCGAGAGCCTGGTAACCTCGAGGTCCAATAGTTTCGAGGGTCCGAGACAACCTGCCCTTCAGCAGACAGGGCCGTGGTGGGCCTCCCAACAACGGGGTCTTTGAGGGAGGAGTGGGCATGTCTCGCACCTTGGTGGAGCTTGTCGGTTAGCCAGGCATGCCAATCCTTCCTCGCAGCCCCCCCGATACTTCTTGATGCAGGCCGCGAGCGCCTCTCGCTGGCGGACATACAGAGGAGCAAGGGCCGAGAGCAACGCCTCGCCCTCCCTCGGCGGCTGCCAGCCGCCAAGGGAGGGCGAGGCGAACGAAGTGATCCCCACCCTCGAGCCTTCGCTCGAGAGCTCCCGAACGAAGTGAACCCCACCCTCCGCATCAGAAATCGTGGGGGGTAGGGGTAGGGTTCGCACGTGGCCCACTACCAGTCGGGAGGGGAGGACGAGGGGGGAGGGGGAGGCTCCTTCCTGTGTCCCGATCCTGGAGAGGCTGGCCGGCCGTGGCCTCGCTGCAGGCAAGCTCAACAGCCAAATCTTCAGAGGGGTCCTCCTCCTCCTCCTCCTCCTCCTCCTCCTCCTCCTTCTGCTCCTCCTCCTCATCCTCCTTCTCCTCCTCCTTCTTCTTGTTCTTCTTCTCCTCTTCCGCCCCGCCTGATCTGACAGAGGCACAAGCGAAGCATGCTGCGCCTCTCCCGCCTGAGGCGACTGGGCAGAAGGACAGGCACCCGCAGAACCAGGGCGCAACTGAGCAGGGCAGGAGGGCCGCCGTGCCGGGGGCCTTCTCCTCACAAGTTCCCAAGCTCAAGTTGGCCTTCGCGATGCTGTCCCGGGCGTCCACCTCCATCGTCGCACCCGGCGCCACCATGCTCTCCGTTGTCCTCCTCTCGTTGCCAATCCTTCTCTGCCTCTCTCCCCTCCCCACCTTCCGCCTCCTCCGCCCCCCCTTCTCCCCCCCCCCCGATTCCCCGATCCCTCCCCTCATCGATCACCTGTTCTCCCACTCCCCACATCCCACCCTTCACCCTTCCTTGCGCACCCCATCCCGTTAGGGACGATGGTCAGACTAGCATCTAGGTCGTTCGTTGAGCCTGCCCCAAAGGCCCCATCGTGCCAGCAGCCCAGGCCAACTCTAACTTCTTCGAGAAAGCGACTGCCGTAAAGCCTGAAAACGAAATCGGGTATCACTCCTCCTCCTCCTCCTCCTCCTCCTCCTCAACCTCTTCCTCCTCCTCCTCCTCCTCCTCCTGCTCGGTTCCCTGCTCCTTGCCATCTGCTTGCTCATCCTTTCTCTACCCCACCTCTCGTCGTCATCCTCCCTTGTCCACGTCCTCGGTTTCCCTCCTCCCTCCTCGTCCTCCTCGTCCTCCTCCCTCTGCTACTTCGCTTTCTGCCCCTTCCTGGCCCACCGCGTCGGAAACCGCCGCCCCCATCCACCTCTGTTTGCGAACTCCCTTCCCCCTCCCCTCCTCCTCCTCCTCCTCCTGCTCCTCCTCCTCCTCCTCCTCCTCATCATCATCACCACAATCATCACCACCACAATCACCACCACCATCATCACCACTACCACCATAATAATCAGCAGCATAATCATCATCACCATCAGCATCATCATGACAACCACCACCATCATCATCATCCTCCTCATCATCATCGTCATACTCATCACCACCAGCATTGTAGTCGTTGTCGCCATCATCATCACCATCATCATCACCATCACCGTCACTTCCATCGTCATCATCACCATCACCATCACAATCACCATCATCACCATCACCACCATCATTGTCAGCATCGTCGCCGTCATCATCATCATAACCATCATCGCCATCGTCATCGACCTCGTCATCGTCATCATCGCCACCACCAACATCACCATCAAGATCACGATCATCATCGTAATCGTCGTCATCATCATCATCATCACCATCGCCATCACCGTCAACACCATCGTCATCAGGTCATCACCATCACAATCACCATCCTCGTCAAAAACATCATCACCGTCAGAAATATCATCACCACCGTCACCGAGCACGCTTATCATCACCACCATCACCACCACCAGCATGAGCATCATCAGCAGCAGCAGCATCATTACCATCATAATTTTCCTCATCCGCACCAACGGCATTCTCATCACCATCATCCGCATCGTCATCATCGTCAACATCACCACCATAAGCATAATCATCGCACCAGCTATCCAGGCCAGAAGAGCGAGTTGTGCCCCAGGATAGGCTCTTCAGACAGGCAGGGCGTCATTCGCTGGACTCGGAGGGGAAGGACGAACGCCGAAACAGCACAAACACACACACACACACACGGAGAAGAGAAGGAGGAAAGAGGAGAAAAGGAAGATAGAGGGCGGGCACAGAAAAGGCTTTAGCCGAGGCGGTTTCGGACAACCCGCGCGCCCTTCAGCGCCCAGCGATAATCGTTCAAGAACGGGCCATCGCACCAGCTGTCCAGGCCAGGAGAGCTTTTTCTTGTTTTTTTCTCCCTTCAAACGGCAACGTGATGCAGCTGATTAACGCATGTCGCTTATGGTCACTCCGACGTGCCCTCAAGGGGCCTCTTCGTCTGCGACGGTTTACAGCTCAGCCAGGCAAAAACTACGCAAGACCGCCTGCTACCTTCAAAGGGTGACCACGGACCGAGGCCCGGCGGCCGCTGTGGATTACCCTACAGCTTTCACGCCGATGCCAGGGAAAGCGGAAGAAGAAAGAGCTTTCGTGCGTCCCAGGACTAACTCTTCAGACAGGCACGGCGGCATCCACTGGACACTGGACTCGGAAAGGACGGGAAAGGACGGACGCCGACACGGCACACACACACACACACACGCGCGCACGCACACGACGAAAGAGGAGGAGAAAGGAGAAACCCATATAACCCCAAGTGGGATCCTGGCAACAGCCACTTCATAGATTATCTGCCAGGGGCGGCTGAGTTGGTTAGAATCAGCACAGCGTGCCAGAGCTCGGGGTAAGGCTCCGCGACTCTGGTCCACAATTTGCCCGAACTCTGGTCCACTCCAATCGACACGATACACGCGTTGCGCTGCAGACCCCCCCCTACCCGTGCAAGGGGTAGGGGGGGCGAAATAGAGAAGGCGGATGCCCAGACCTGGGCCCGGGCTCGCTTGCGCCACCTGGCGCCAAAACTGCAATAGTCTGTCGTGCAGTTGTGGCTGTGTAATTAACCGCATGGGCGCTGAAGCGAGGGCGCCTGCCACATCCAGCTGGACCATGGGTTTTCAAGAGCCACTGGGGCACCCGCGCGGAGGCAAGCACGGACCGATCGCAAATTAAACCTAAGCTGGAAATTACCGCGCTTGCGGGCATGGGTCGATCGGAAGCGGGAGGGATTCCGAATGCGGCGCCAACTCGAGCCTGGTGGCCCGCGGCGCGCCTGGGACCAGGTGCAGCAAGGAGTCCAGAGCCACGCTGCTACTGCAACACCGCTGGTGACCCAGCCAATGGGGGTGGACTGGATGACAGGGAGGTTTAAATCATTGAAGATCAAGCCAAGGCTGACATATCTACAGACATGACTCCGAAACCGAGAGAACGCACAGCTTTTCACATGCCAACCTCGCCAGCGAAAAACGCAAAAAGAACATATAGTCTACTCGCCGACGCGCCCTCGAGCGCTCGTCTCAAGACACGCCGCAAGCGGACGCGGATCTCTTCGCTGCTCAGAGTCGCTCAGAGTCGGCCCGGCGCCAGCCTCGGCACCGGAGGGGGCGGCCGCGCATGGGGGAAGGCGCGGTCGAGGCCCTCTGAGACGCGGCGGCCGTCTTCCACGAGGTTGCGGCGACGCGGCCCGGGGAGCGCCGCCAGAGCCCTCGCCTCCTTGCCGCGTCGCCTCAGCTCCGAGTCGCTGCGCCAGCGGCCTATGGCTCTGACCTCTGGGAAGCTGCGTGTCGTCAGCCAGAGGTCGCGAGAGGTCTCGCCGTGCAGGAGGCCGCAGGCGGCGACGCCCGCGGCGCGGAGCCCCCGCGCATCGGCCGACGCCTGCAGCTGCCTCATCGGGTCGCTGGGCGGGCAGCTCCAGAGACGCTGGCCGGTGCGCAGGCACCGCGCCTCCAGGGGCACCAGCGAGCCGCGCAAGAAGCTGAGTCGCCCAGCACGACGCTCTCGACTCAGGCGCCCGCCTTGGCGGGCCTCCCGAGCTCCACGGGCCCCATCCGCAACGCCCAGTGAGCAGCAGCTGCCCCTGCAGCCGCCAGCGGCGGGACCGGCTGCATCGACGTCAGCGAGTCGCGTGGGGCGAGAAGAGGGCGGTGACAGCGTGCTCGATCAGGTCGCTGGCGAGCCACCCGCGCCCGAGGCACTGGGAGGGGGGTCTTTCGTGGCAGCAGTTTGGCCCAGCCCGTCAGCGCCCGGCTGGCCCGAGGCAGGTCGCCGCAGCGGCCGACCTGGGGGGGGTAGTGGACCTTCACCGCTGCCAGAGTCTTGCTCGCCACGTCCCCCGCGCACCCCGGGAAGGAGAGCTTGTCCAAGTACGCCGCCAGGGCGAGGTCGAGGCCGCCGCACACAAATTCGAATCCACGGCCCACTCCTGGGAAACCCGCGCCCTCATGATGTAGTCCTTCTGCGTCGGGTCGTCGATCAAGCGGCCATCCGAGCGCGCGAGCTGGCGCGAGGCCAGGAGGGGCTCCGCGTCGGGCGATGATCGCCAGCATCTGGCCCTCCTCGCAGTGGTTGCCGCAGCCGAAGGGGCCGCCGGGTGGGCCATCCAGCCTCCCGAAGCCCTCGTCGAAGTTCTGGCCTCGCATGGCGCTGACCTCCTCGAGGTCGGGGAAACGTGGGTGTCTGGCAGGACAAAGTGAAGATCTGCAGCAGCAGGCCCTCGCGGCGCCCTCGGGCTCGCCCTGCTCCTTGAGGTAGTTGCCTCTGGGCGGATTGCCCGAGGGATTCCTTTCCGACGGCGGCCGACGAACCGCTGCCTGCAGGCGACGGGCGGGGCCAGGGCGCATCTCACGAAGGACATTCCGAATCTGGAACGCAGCGGATCGGCCCTTCCCCATGGCCGAGGAGAGCCCCGCGTCGTCGACGAGGGCCAAGATGCGAGCCCCGAGAGCCCCGCGGCCCTGGAGGGCATGCCGAAGCGCGCTCGACAAGGCGAGGCCCTCTCGACGCAAGATGGCCCCTGGGCCCCGCCATGGAGAGAATTCCACTGCACAATCGGATTCGATTGGACTGGACAGGACACGCGAGAGGACGCAAGAGTCTCCCGAGGGCCACATTGCCGCAGGAATGTAGGAAGCATTGGTCGCGAGACACAGGACACAAGGCGACCCTTGCTTTGGCAGGGTCGACCTACTAATCTGGGCCGACTATACGCCAAGCCTCGGGGTCCGCGACGGAAGGGTCGACCATGTTGCGGGGCCTCTTCATCTCCTCGGCCTGCCGCGGGCCGTCGGCGGGGCTCCGCGCAGCTCGGCCTCGAAGGCGCGCGCCCGCGCGGCAGCGGCGCCCTGCCTGCGGCGCCGCTTCTCGGCCGCGCGGCCCCGGCGGCCGAGGAGGAGGAGGAGTGAGTGAGCGAGACCAGTCGCGAAGCGAATCCCGATGCCTACGAGCCCCTGCGAGCCAGCTCGGCCCGACTCAGGACCTTGGGTCATTATTGCCCATTGCCGATCCTGGATAAATACTCGGCTCGGTTGGAATTCGTGGCCCTGGGATACGGTTGCCCAAGACCTCTGATCATCTGACAACTCGCACAAAACCAGAGTTTAAGGGTACTGCGCAGACGCATACTGTGTGTTTCATGCACCCACCCACCCGCTATATGCAGCTGGGCCCCTGACGGCGCCCCGAGGATCACCCCATC